GATTTGTCTATATTTGGTCAATTCTACTGTTTGAGATTAAGCAAGTAAAAGTAAACTTGTGAGTTAAAGGAAAGAAAAGTTGGTATATATCTTTAAATTTATAACTAATTAGATATTTAAGAATTTGAGATTCTGGAATGAAAGTGTTTTTAGGAGGATTTCTATTCAAGTATAGATTAGAAATATTATTAAAATCACCAAGTATTATTAGTTGATAGTTGGAATTGTTACAAAGTTGGATAATTTGTTCTTAAATTTCAGAACATAATTGTTTTTTCTCTACAATTAGAAGGTAAATTTGAAGAATACGAATAGAATTGTGTTTGAAATATAAATTAAGACCAATTATATAACCATTATAGTTGTGTATTCTAGCTACATATTTGGAGATTCTATTATATATAAAAATTCTAACACCTACTTGATGAGAATTTTTATAAGAACTCTAGAAGCTGTTATAGTTTTGAAAATCTTTGTTAATATATTTCCCTTCTTTTGAAGTTAGGTGTGTTTCTAATAATCCAAAGATATCAAAATTATATTAGTTGATTATGTCAATAAATAAAAGTTTTTTTGAGTATTGAAGTAAACTATTAATGTTTAGAGAACCAATTTTTATAGGAATTAAGATAATAGATAAAAGAGTTATTCTTAAAAAAGATATATTATTAGTAGTTAAAGAGTTAAAGTTATGTAAATTAGAAGTAATAGAATTTGAGTTATTATCATTATATGTATTAAAGAAAATACTATCCAAGATAGTATGAGAAGATAAGTATCTGGAATGTGATTTAATAGAGAGGTTATTATATAGATAATAATATGAATTTGGAAGAAATATGTGATTAGATAAAAGTTTGTGTTTTAAATTTTTATAGATATGTGTTTTAGTAAATGTATTATTAATAATGAGTGTGGCGACCTAGTGAAGTGGTCAGGTTGTCAACCCTTCAAGTAGTAGGTTGGATATTCAAATCCCATCGATAGTGAAAATTTGGATAATCACCTATATAATATTTGTATTATGGCAACTGTTACTAATGATTGGATTAGGATATCTTTAATGGTAGTCATACCAGCATAACTGGCAGGTCATGGGGCATCTGTGCAATGTTGGAGTTATATGGAGGAATGCAAACTGACAAATCAGGCAGTGCAAACACTAGATAAGTTCTTGTGGCTATGTAAATCTGTTAAAATTAGGTAACAAGAAGTCCATTTGAAAAAACCTAAATAAAGAGATAACTGAATCTTCGATGGCTCTACTGTAAAGGCTAGCTTGGCAAAACAGATATTCAGGTCTAGTACCCAGTCCTAGTAGCCAAACAGGCAAGAACCTCCAGATTGGAAGTCTCAGAGATACTACCAACCAGGCTGTCAGAACAAACTAAAGAAAAAGGATATCGAGCTGACCTGATATACTGATGGACTGGTTATAGTCCTACATGAACTATCTGACTTGGGAGTTTGGTAAAAGGAGAGAAGAAAAGGCAGAGGTATACTAAAGTACCAGAGTTATGCTGTGAAGTAGATGCTGGGATCTAAGTGAACTCTACAAGGGCATAGCGGTTTAATGGTTAGCCCTGACCACAAGTGTTGGTTTTGCCATAGTGATACCTAGGTCAACTGTAAAAATGGATACAGAAGGCTCTGAAAGGTTTACCTCGAGAATAAATTAGTCCTAAGCTTGAGGACAATGATCTGATACATTTGAGATGACCAGTGATGTTAACACAGGTTACAGGTTCAGAGGGTTTAAAGTGGAACATCCAAGCAGGAGTGTTAGGTATGGCAATTGGTGAGGAACCTTCAGGCAGACTCCTTAAATAGGTAATATAGAAAAGTTATACATGTAGCCTATTGTACACTCTCTTGTAGTGGTTCATTGAACCACAATACCGATAAGTGATTAATAAAAGTCAAAAGACCAAAGAAGTTACCTTAATACCAAAAAAAAAAAAAGTATTGTTACTAGAGCCTTCTGTGTTTTATATATAGTTGACCTAGTTTTTTATAATATGCTATAGTTACCTAATACTTGCAGTTACAGAAGTTACCTATTTAACTACTACATTATACTATTTCTATTTTTGTAAAGTTCAATTAAACTCCAATACTTATTTTTTTAACTTTTTCTCTTTATTCCTTTACTATTCAACTCAGAATCTGGCAAACTTCTTAGACTCCCAATCCAGATAGCTGGTATAATATATCTAGTATTCTTTTTTTTTGATAATTCTAGCAGTCTGGTTGGTTATATGCTTTTCTATATATCTTTCTATTCAGTTACATCTGCCTATTTCTTATTAAGATTTTCTGAGCTTCTATTAGTCCAATAGCATTGTCGAAGGTTTGTGCTATCTCTTTACTTTGAAATTTTCAAGTGGGCTTCTGTTTTCTCAGTTTCTTGGTTTTCTACATCTAGTAGTCTTATCATAAATTTGTATCAAAGTCTTATATAATACTGGTTATTAACATTTCTCTATGTATATGCAATGTTATACTTCATATAGATGCTCAGACTCTCAATAACAAGTAGAATCCAATTGGTTGTACCTAAGATTATAGATACCTAAATTCAATTGATTAACAAGAGACAGTTTTTTCATAATACAGATTAATTTCCAAATTTTGTTATAAGTAAGATTTGAACCTTAAACTTGCTACTTGGAGAATAACAACCCAACTACTACACTAGAATTGCCATCCTCTAGTATTATTTTCTAACTTAGTATAGATTTTTTATTTTTTTTAGTATTAAGGTAACTTAATATAGATAATAAATAGTCTAGTTCTTTTATCATTAAACTTTGCAAAATATGAAACTTCTAGATTATTTATTAGATCAAAACTTTATCTTTAATTTTAAATTCTTTTAGTTTTAGTTTTCTGTTATATCTTTCTTTTTGTTCTTCTTGTAATACTTCTATATTTTATTTAGCTTGTTCTTATGTTTCTAATAGTTTGTTTATTAAATCAAAAGCTCATAACAAAATACTGTCTTTAAATTTATTTTTGCATTAGTTTTCTTTATTGGCAGAATTAATTCTATAGATAATACAACTTTTTTTTATAAGTTAGCTAAAAAGGTGTATACTTAATAGTAATATACTTCTTAGTTTAATAAGCAAGCAGTATAGCAGAAAGATTTATATTCTAATATTTACTTGTTTCTACTTTTACTAATGATTTAAACAATGTTCTGTTTAGTTTTTCAATTATATTATTTATTTGTAGATAATATAATAATGAAAACTTATGTTTAATAAGAAAGTTTTTACATAAAACTTAAATTATTTTATTTCAAAAATTAGGTTTTTGGTCTGAAAAAATGATCTTTGATATTTTATGTTTACAAACTTTTTCTATAAAAATAAATTTTGCAAAAGTTAGAGCACTTGCATCTGGCACTACTTTAACTTTTAGTCATTAGATTAAATAATTTGTTGTAATAATAATGTATTTATTATTGTAAGTAATAATAAGAGATACAAATAGGGATGCATTGGTCCAGTCTGGTCCAATCCTTAGCAGGACAATTACATAGCAGTAACAGTCCAGTCTGATCTGATCTTTTGGTCCCAAAATGGTCCTTTGTAACACAAGCTATGATTGGTTTATTTTTTATATATAAATTTTAAACATTGTAACCAGTGTTAATGCAATTTGTGACAGGTTAAATAATCACTATCTGATTATATTCTTAGAGTAAGATATAAACTATTAAAAAAAAAACTTATAAATTTACAAGTTTTCTTTTTATATTAACTAAACAAATATTTATATAAAAAAATAAAAACTTTAGCGAATACCACATAAATATTTCACTAGTAAATTATAATTTTTTTTAAGCAAAGCAAACAGTATGTCATTTCTTTAACCATGCTATTGTTCAATACTTACTTAAAAGTTCCTTTTTTTTATTTAATTTTATCTTTTCGAATGAAGAAGATAACTCAAAGCTGAATTCTTCTTTCTTCTGAAGATTTTATTCTTGTTTTATTACACTGTTCTTTGAATTTATCTAACATGGTTTGTAATGTTGGCCTAATATTTTAACAGCTTGAATTAATAACTAAAAATAAAGTGATGCTAGAAATATCGCTCTCATCCATTTTCTTAATTTTGTTATATATGTTTTTTTTAAAAAATATCCAAATTTGTATAATCTGTGAAACATTTGAAGGACTTTTCATACTAATTTTTTTTTTATAAACTTTATTAAAAATTGGTTTACTTTTACAGTAAGTCTTATTAGAAGTTGATAGGTTATTTAAACTTTTAATTTGCATACTTTACTTATGTTAGATAAAAAAAAAAAAAAGATAATTTATAAAATCACAAAAAAATAAAATTATTTTTTATATATTTAACTTTAACTTTGTAATTACAATAGCTTTTCATTATGATTTAAGGAGTTATTGAAATTAATGTCACAGATTACAGACATATTTAATTTTTTAGTTAAAATTTACTATGTGACAAATAAATAAAATTTACAAGCAACTATTTGCAACTGTGTGCACTATTTACAAAATGTTTTTTCTGTGCACAAAATTTTGATTCTGTATGCTGTGCACAGTCCACACAGTAATGTAATTTTCAGATTTTACATTTAACATTCTTAACAAATATATAAATTTGATTTATTTATATTGTAATTATAAATATAAAATAAGATACATTATTTTTATTTCTCTTTACTAGTGACTTTAAACTATGAAATTAGTACCCTAAAAACATAACTTGAATTTATAATTAATTGTATTTTTTTTCTTTAATTCAACTCTTCAAACATAAAACTGCTTTTGCTACTTCTCTATCTAACCTATTTCTTGACAGCATGATCATTTGTCTAGCAATTAAAAAGGCTTGTTCTGAGGCAACACTTGTTGCTTAGACACATAAATAATCTTGAGTAATTAAATTTAATCTAGAATATTCATATTGTTTTTCCTGCCACCAAGCTAGTAGATCTACCTCATTCTCTAATAGTAAGGCTAAGTATCTTTTACTTCATCTTGTATGCAATTTATTTTTAGCAATGAAGAGTCTAAATTACTTTTTTCTTGAAAACCAATTAAGCATAACTGACAAAAATAATTTTGTGTATTTGATAGATCATCAGAAAATGTTGTAGTTGGTTTTGGCATTAAAGAAGAATATCCAATAAGGTTTGAAACTAAGTCAATTGCTTTGATTTTCTTATCCAAGTTTTTAAATACTGTTAATTTTGTTCTTGGGTTAAGCAATAATAAAATCTGTGAAGTTTCATCTAAAATTGTCCAGTAACTATCTAACTTTTAGTAAATTGCAGATGCTATTTGATTTTGTAAAAAATTATTATTATCTTTGTATTGAAATAGGTGATCCTAAATAGCAAAAAAAACAAATCAAATATCACTATGTGTTGGATAACTTGAGGCAAAAAGAAGTCAAGTAGCATGTTTGATTAGCTCTAAGAGAATTAGTATATTCTTTTTTGAATTAATTAAATAATTATTTATTTATTTATTTATTCATTTTAACATTTACATTAATATCTATATGTTCATCTTTGTTCAGATACTTTTCATAGAGAGTTTCATTATCAGCTGCAAGCATATTCAAAGCAGGCTTCATTTTTTCCATTTTTCCAACATGTAATAAGTAGAATTTCATTTAGTCTTAACATCTAGCTCAGGTGCTAGATAGTTGATACTTTTTAAATCACATAATTTTTTTAAATTATTGATCATAGGTTGTGATGCTTTGATGTAAGACATCAATGATTACACTTTAATTACTGATTTATTAATTAAATTGACTTCATGACAAACTGCCAAGTTTAACATATGGGCTGCATACCAATAGTAGAAAAAAGCACTATTATTAAGTTCTTGAAGCCTTTCTTTTAGAAGTGTATTGCATAAAACTATTGATGATGCATTATTTGTAGTTAAAGCCAAACTTTTTTCAACTATATAAAATTCTTCTAATGTATTTACTATTATGTTGGTAATATTAATTCCTGTATATTGTTCATTTATAGGAATAATGTCAAAAAGAAAATTTTTTAATTTCCAAAATTGATCAATATAATGTATTGTGAGGCTTAGAAATAATATGTCATTTGATGCTGTCCATATATCTAAAGTAAATGCTACCTTTCCCAGAATCTTATTCAATATTACTTTAACTTCTTTTTGTTTATTTTGAAACATTTCTGTTATTCAAGTTTTATTGTGTTCCTACTAGGAAATTAGTATTATGGGTTGAATTTTAAAATCATGTTATATCATTCTTCTTCTTCAATAATGCTAAATAGATGCAAATCACAAATAATCCATCTCACAATCAAATTGGTTTACTCTTGCTATTCAATTTTCAGATAAGAGTTTATATTTAAAAGCCTTTTTCTTTGCTTTAATGCTACTATGTTGTGTATAGTCAAATAATGTGCTAATGTTGAAGTTGCACTTGATTTTAAAAACTCTGTTTTATATATTTTACAAATAGATATACTAAGTATATCCTTTATCTCTCTATTGAAATATAGCCACACAGGAGATTCACAATTATCAGATAAGCCTGACTTATAAGATGTGTCTTGTAATTCTTGTTTGCTTTGATTAAACAATATAGAATTATTGCTAGTTTTATCTTTGACATTAGAGAGATCTTGACCAACATTTCTGTATTCATTTTCTTGAACAAAACTTATTTTTGGGAATGCAGTATGAAACCAAAGAGACAGCTTAGATGATAATTTAATAATATAAAGTCAAATTTGATAATGTATAGCACAGTTAACAATTTGTACTTAGATGCTAATTAATGTGTAAGCAGGGATGATTTGATAAAAATAAAAATAATATAAAAAATTATATGAAAATATAAGTTTTTAGTTTAAATTTTTATTGTTTATAAAATTGAATCGAATTGTAAAGTCTTTTATACATTTCATACTTATACAAATTTCATCTTAAACAAACTTATTATTTTATATAATTAGCATTCTTTAATTATACTGCCAATACTTTCTACTCATTGTACCCTTTCATGAACTATACATAATTCTATATATGTGTCATAAAGTGCTACTTTACATTATGTCTAATTTAAGATAGCCCTTGTACTACTAATAATGAAGTTATAAATAAATAAAGGCTGAAGTATAAACAAATAACTATATATGACATATATAATAAAAGACAAATAAAACAAGTAATAAACAATACATAGCCAAATAATGAATAAATATTTAAACAGCTGGTGTTATATGAAGTACAACTCTACAAAAAAAAAATATAAAATAATACAAATAAAATTTTGAAAAAGCTTATAAAAAAAAAGAATTTGTACTCATTTATAATAGTTTCCATCTATCTAGATCTTTACACAGTATTATTATTGCACTTCAGTAAAATTAGAATCTAAAAAAAAACCTAACAAAGAAAAAAAAGTATTAGTCCTGAGTTCAAGCCTTGATCTTATCTGACATTTCAATGATCAGAACTCATAAAAAAAGAAAGATTATTAGTATTATAAGAAAAAATTTTTTTAAAAAAAGAATGATATAAACTACCGTATATAAAACCCTATATACTATATCCAGGTCTACAAGAAATAAAGCTTTGGTAAAATAAAATAAACCTATAGTACTTATAGTATATGTTTTGCTCAAACTAGCTTATTAAATAGTAATTTCAAAAAAAAAAATTAGCATTGCAAGAAAAAAAACTTAGTAAAAGAGAAAAAGAAACTTATACTTATATCATTTTTTATCTTGATTTTACCCTAGTTGAAGACCTTCACTTGGTGTTAATTATAAAATTAGTAAAACCTGCTACATAAATCATGTTAGCAGTACAGTAGAGACAGTGCTTAATCCAAAGTGAATCTCTCTTGCCTGTGATAAATACAATTTAAATTATTTATATTGGATTCAATTGTGATGAATATAATCCTTCAGTTTTAATATATATGTAACATTAATAGTCACAGATTTAACTAATTACTAATTCACAATACCCTGTCATATTTATGAATGGGCAAAATAAATTTTGTAAGTAATAAAAACCTATAACATCCTTTATTTTATATCAAGTATCATTAAATAATTAATACTTATTATATAATACTTAATAACAGTTAGAGGTGAGTGATCAAAATTAAGATTGAATAAAAAATTGCTACTAAAAATAATATTATTGTATTATTATTTATATTTATTACAAGATAAAGTAATATTAAGTAATAATAGCTTTGCTCATCTTTAAGAATATTAAATATAGAAAAAAAATTTATATAAAACACATATAGTAGTTTATTATAAGGACTGATGCAAGGACTGGTCCTGGACCAGTCCTTGTATCAGTCTTTAGTCCATATTGGTTCCAGTTCAGGACCAGTCCAGGATCAGTCTTTTGTGTGACCAACACAACCCTAGATACAAATCACTAACTCTTTTTAATGATCACTTATACCAAATTTTTTCTAAACAAAACTGCTCTTTTCTTAAATTATTATTAAATAAACCTATCTTGGCTGTCTAAGTAAAATTGTTTCTTATAAGATTTTATATATAGGAGACCTATTTTTATATATCTAAACATGTTTATTATAAGAATATAACTAAATTAAATAAATTTCTTTTTGTACTAAATTCTTATTATTCTACTAAGTAAACACAGTAGATACTTAAAACAAAAAGATTCAGCACAACTTTTCTTCATTTTGATATATTATACTCTCTATATAGTCAAAAACTGACAGTTTTATTAAAAATATATATTAAAACTCTCTTATAATTTTTTTTCAAAAATGCAGAAAAAATTTTTTCTTCTTTTTTGAAAGACTCTGACTCTCTATAACTTCTCAGATCTGTAAATCACTATTACTAATTAAGATTACTAATTATTTTATACAAATTTATCTTTATTTTATTTATTTTTAAACAAAACTTAATATTACCAATTTCATCTTAGCAAATTTACACAAATTTTGTTTTATGTTAATCATACTAATTACTTAGGTGTTATGCTAAATGTTATCTTAAATATCACACTCTTCTATTTGTCATACTTCTTATTTGTTATACTCCTTATCTGTCACATCTCAACACCAAAAATAACTCAGAAAAATGACTACTTTAATTGACTCTTAAGAACCAGATTCCTATAATATAGACTACTACTATTCTAAATACAAAAACTGTTATAAAGTTGGATTTCAAGAGACCAAACCCCAAGTTCTAAGAGTTCTCCTACCAGCAGCTAAACCAGACTACTGTGATAATAAAAAACAATATTATTTTAAAGTTCTATTATAATCTACAATTACAATCTGCCTTTGTGACAAATTTCATACAAGCTTTACTTCTTAATATTATAAAATTACTTATTCGACTACAATTAGTCAACCTTTAAATCTAACTCAAACTCAAATTAGAAATACTATCTTTTTACAAAGTTTTAAAAAAACAAAAGAACTACCAGCCTCACTAGTTCCTAAATTAACTAATTAAATACAACTTTCCTCATTCTCAACAGCATGTGTTTTCTTTTTAAACTTTTAAACAGACCCAACTCCTACAACTATAATTATACACTTACAATATTACATACTTGTTTTCTCAGCAAACATAAAAATATTTAATGTGTCTTTACTGACAATCAACAAAATTACACTTCAGATTATACAATAGCATGTATCTTTAAAGACTCTCTAATTTATTGCACTTGTATACCACATATCCTAAATCTTAAACTTAAAATTAAACTGACTAAACTAATAACTCCATTCAGCTCTGACCAAAAAAAAGTAATTATTCTTTATAAACTTAGCATTATGTCTGCAAAAGACAAAATCTAACTATACAAATCCATTTTCTAAAAAACTAAATTCCCAACACTTTACTAAAGAATAAAAACAAAAACAAACAGTTAAAGATACTTCTAATAACCTTGATATGTTCAAAAAATTTCCAATTACTAAAGAAATAAAACATCATACTAAACTCAATAACAAACTAGCTTTACAAATACTGGAATTTATTAAACTATATTTTATTAATATATATCCAAAAAAAATTATAGAACAAGTAACCAAAAATAAACCAGCATCCAAATTTAATTATATATATCTAATTAAAACCTTAGCTAGTCAACAGTCTAAATTTCTTACAGACTTTATTTATGAACATAACCTTTTTATAAACCAATCTTTTGCTAGTTTTTTTAAACTTATTTACTTTACTCTTATTGCACTACTTAAAAAATTTATTATTATACTCTTTATTCATCTCAATTATTCAAAAATTTTTACTTTATATAACTCAATTTTACCTTATATTATTTTAAATAGAATGCAAGTTGCACTAAACTTAGCATGCTTATATCTTATTCTTCATAACAAACATAAAGCCATCAATACAAAAAAATTCTACAAAGATCTTAAACTTTACCTAATATACTTCAAACTTCATTATTACATTAGTAAAAACAGCATTAACCAACCTCTTTTTAAAATCCAAAATGATAATAAATTTAATATCAACATATCTCTCAATATTCCAAAACAACAATTTCTTCAAACTTTTCAAATTCCATTTCTTAAAAATTACTTAATACAATTCAAAACATAGTTTAATATTTTCTTTAACATCTACAAACAACAATTTACTTAAATTAATAAACAAAAAACATTTAACTTTATCAAATATCAAATTGTTCTTAAACTTTCTGACACTTGCAAAGCTTTTTTATCTCAACAATTTACTATTACCTCTATCAATTTACTACATAAATACTTACAATTCTGTTTTAAAGCAACACTCTATTATATTCATACATCTACTATAAAAAACTGTACTATATTACCTGATAATACTAAATACAACATCAAAAATCTGTTAGCTAAATTTTTTAAAAAATTTTTCAAAAACTATTTTACACTTACAAACTCTGATTCAAACTTAAGTACTAAAATTTAATCATTACATCCAATACTAAATATTGCAATATTTAGATATAATAATGATTTTCTAGCAACCTTTCAAAAACCAACACCAATTACCTATCTTCAACAACTTGTAGCCAAAACTGAATTAGATTTTTTTTTTTTTTTTTTTATTTGTATAATATCAAGTAGAAAAAATAGTAATATATAGGTATATCAATTGAATATAAATATATAAATGAAATATTCCTAAACTATACTATTGTTGCTATATATATAATAATATCTAACATGATATTAACCTTTAATTTTCTGTTTTAGTTAAATTTACTATTGTAATTATTAACTACAGTGAAGGATAAAAGAAACCTTTAAGATTATTTTTTTAAATATTAGCGGTGAGGCCATGCCTTTAACTTTATTGAAATTCAATTGAAGTTTTTACAAAGAAAAGCTTGCTTTTAAATTACATATGAAGAATAAAGACTCAGACATATAATCTGCGACCTAAACCTAACAAATAAAATTATTTATACTTACCTATTTGTTATTAATATTACCAAATCAGTTTCCATCTCCACTGGACAAGTTGCTCATCTAATCAATTGCTATACAGTTTTATAGACATTTTATTACAATGTACTTTAAATACTAAAACATTTAATATAATTTCAAATACTATAACTAATTTGTACAACAAATTAAGCTGTTAAGTAGTATGTCTGTTCACAGTATACTAGGCTTACCTTCAGTCTTCTTAACTCTAACTGGTCTAATACCAAATGAACTTATCAACATTATTGCAAATTTGTTTTCTAAAAAAGTAGCCACAACACTTGTTATCAAGTTCTTACTTTATCTTAACCAACAATTTATCATAAAATCTGGATTTCATACTGCATCTCAAGATCTACAGCTCAACTTCCTAAATATGATACACTTTCAAATACTGTTTTACCTCTATCACATTCTCTTTTACTCAACTCTATTAATTTAAAAATAAACTCCTAATATATCTAATAGATTAAATATTAACTAATCTTCTATATATAATTATTAATAATCAAATTTAGATAAGCCTTGGCCACTCCAGTTGGTTTAGGTTATAGATAAATTAGTCTGAGTTTCTATTCTTTTTATAATATTTTAAAAACAGAATTGTACTCTATATAAAATCTTAATTAAATATTCAATAAAGATAGAGGCATGGCCTTACCATTAATATTAAAAAAAAAAAAATCAAATGCTAGAAAACAGAACAATAGAAAAATGAAAAAAAGAAGAAAGAAGTTTAATCGAGCTAAAACAAGTAGAAAAATTAAAGACAGAATTAATCAAGAAACAAAAATTTAATAATAAAATTACAGATTATATAATAGAATTTCTAACAAGAAATAAGAGAAAAAACAAAAACAAATATACTTTTTATACAGATAGAGCATTATATAAAAAGAAAGAGAAAAATAATATAAAAAAGATAAACATTGGTTGGGTACAAGTTAGTAATGAAAAAAACTGGCTAGAGAAAGAAATGGCACTAAGACTTGAAAGTTGACTCTTAGCAATGACAGCAGAATTAGCAACAATATAGTTAGCAATTTTAACTATACTAAAAAGAAGATGTATAGAAGTGTATACAGATAGCCTTGCAGCACTAAAACATATTAACAGAGCAATTTAAAAGATAGAAGATGACAAAGTTTTGAAAAAGAAAAATATGATATAGATAATGAATATTGTAGGTTTACTCAAAAACAAGAACAATAAAATAAAACTAGTTAAGGTTAAAACTCATAGTAATGATAAATGGAATGATAGAGTAAATGTTTTTGCAAGAAAAAAAGCAATATGTGAAAGGACAATATTTACAGAAAAGATCAAGTATGACAAGATAGAGTACTACTTAGAATGAGAAAACAGAAAAGTTGATATACCAACAAGACTATTTTGCAAAATAGTTACAAATATTAGAATTGAAGCTAGTTGGAAAAAAACAAACCCAATTTGAGCACTAGAGCCAGAAACTGAGAACACTCGATATAATTGGGCAAGCTTTTGGAAAGAGATGAATAGAACAAAGAGTATATATTGCATAACAAGAAAACTTAGTACAAAAAGAATAATAGCAATTAAATGCATAATGGATAGCCTATCAATACTAAAAGAATTAAATAGAAAAAGACCAAAAATATATATAACAACTGACTGCCAAGTATGTCAAAAAGGTAAAAAAGAAACTTAAGCATATTTAGCAAGCTGCATTGGACAAAAAAGCTTGTAGAAGAGGATCCAAAAAGTAGCAACAACAGCAGTATAAAATAGCTTTAAAAAAAATAAAAAAGTTAAAATCTCATCTCTAGTATTATATAAGGCACTATTTGGAAAAACATAAGCAAAGAAAATTACTAATAGAACAGCTTTAATAAAAGAGCTAACAATGAACAAGGTTAGAAAAAGAATCAGTCAGATTTTAAATAAGCAAACAACACAGAAATGCATAAACATAGTAACAAAAATAGTATAGAATATATTCTATAACCAAGTATAAAGAGTTTAATATGAAAAAGTACAAGAATAAAAAAAGAAGATTAATATAACAAGCAAAATAAAAAAAGTGCTTGAACTAAAAGAAGACTAGAGAAGAGAACAAAAAAAAATAAGATGACAAAAGAAGAAGAAAAGGAAAAGAAAGTAGAAAAAATAAAGCAAATAAAGAAAAAAGCTTGAAAGACAATTGATATGCTTGTTACAGAAAGAGAAAAACCTTTTTAGTATAGCTTTAAGTAGTTAGACAAGCAGTTTATCTCTAACTGAGATAATGTGGCAAGTTGCACTTAGGTACCAATAGAGTGGCTGAGTAATGCTAGACTTGAGTATTGAAAAATTCTATATAATTATAAATGTATATAGTTTTAAAAATCTTAATAAAGTACTAGTGTAACTGCTTAAAGTTAAATATATATATATATATATATATAAACTAATTATTTTAAGTTAGTTTAATTTATATAAAGCAATAATATTATATATATAATATATAAATTATCTCTAATTAAACTATATTGATATATATAATTAATTACAATTAATTTTAAATATATCAAACTGCATGTTTTAAGAAGTTTTGTTTAATATAAAGTAAATTTGTTATAAAATTATTTTTCTATACTAAACAGTTCAATATATAAAGCTAACTAATTAAATAATATATAAGATTATAACAGATTAATAAGTTTTTAAGATTTTTTAAAAATTTTACTCTAGTTTAAAATTTTTTTAAAATAGATATTATATACAAACAAATAGTTTATTATATTAAAATATATATATATAATTTTGTGCTAATAAAGAAGCATTCAAATACAATATATAAAAACTTATTATTTTATAATTTTATATTCTAATCTTTAAAAATTAATATCTTAATGAGTTTTTAATCTATTTTAATAATTTTATTATTATTAGAATCAAAAAAACCTACTCTACAATTTTTATTTAATAATTAAAATTAGTTTACTTAATATTATTTTTCATAAAATTGAATATAAAAAACTTTACTATTAGGTTTATATATAATTTTAAGATACTGCCTCCTATCTTTAAACTAAAATTTATCTGATTGATGATTATTAAAATAATATCTATTATAAAAAGTCACATAGTCTTTGTGATCTTTTAACTTATTGATATTATTAATAATTATATAAAATGATTTTACTTATTTGTATAATAATACAAGCTCCTAGCCTTTAAGTTAAATTATTTAGTAATAATTAACCTAGCCTTTAAATCAAGATTATGTAGACTTAATGATTATAAATTAATTTTAGTAATGTAATCTGTTGATTAAAAATCTGAATAACTATTCAAAATCTGTATTTTTGTATAATTTGTATTATTCAAATAATTTTTTATATAAACTATACAATTTATATGCATACTATAGTTAACTGATCAAATAATAGTTAGCTATAGTTATTTGTTAAAATTATTTTTAACTGTAGTTATTTGTTAAAACTATAGTTAACTGTAGTTGGCTATTCAAACTGTAGTTAACTATTAAACTATAGTTAATCATAATTAATTATACAAACTATAAAGATTGTTGGTCAACTATTATTTTTTATTTTTTTATTTATTTTATTATTAAATAATGAATTATAAAAAAAAATTGATTTGTATTAATGTTATATTTTTAATTTTATTGAAAAAAATGTCTACTTGTAATAAAAATAATACTTTAACATTAATTAAAATATGTGATACTATAGAACAAACACAAACATCAATAAAAGAGTAAAAACAAATAATATACAAGATGTTAACCCTAGAAGTTGGATCTGATTGTACTTTGCTTATATATATATTAATAATGTGAGGCATGCAATTTGTAAAATTAAGAAAGTAAAAGGAATAAAATGTAGTAAAAAGTACAAAGTTAATACATCAACAAGTAACTGTTCTTCTTATTTGTTAAACATTCACAAAATAACTAAAGATTATATTAAGAATAAAAATAATATAGAATTGGTTAATTTACCTTATGATGAATTATGTTAGCTTCGATTATGCCAGTATTTTACAGATTGAATCATAACTAATTCTTAACTACTCACTGTTCTTAAAATTTTGGCTTTTAGAAAATTTCTAATAAAGTTAGACCAAAGATTTCAAATCTCATATATTAAAACTATAAGAAGACTTGTATATATTGCATATAATTATTTATTCAAGTTAATTACAAAAAAATTAAACATTAATTTGACTTATATATCTTAAATATCTAATCTTTGGATTAGTAAAAGTCAGCAAGAATTTTTGGGCATAATATGTTCATATATAGATCATAAATTTCAATTTCATAAAATTATGCTTTCTGTTAAACATATTCATTATCTACATTTTGCAAAAAATATTGGTGATACTATTTTTTTGTTACTAGATGAATTGAAATTACATGATAAGGTTTTTACAATAATGACTAATAATAGTAGAAATATGCAAAAGGCTATAAGAGATTTGAAATATGAGGTGAGAAATATAATCTGGCAACCTTGTGCAGTATATATCCTTCAATTGGTAATTAGAAAAGAATTAGAACCAGTTAAAATTTTAGTTGCTTATACCAAGCATATGATTAATCTTTTTTTAAAACCAAAGCAATCTGAACATTTAGAAGATATTCAAAAATAATATATAAAATTAAACAAAATTTACAAGTTTTATTATATTTATTTTAATTATTTATTTATATTTTAAATTGCTAATACTAAATATTTATATTTATTTTTTAAGGAACTATTTATAATATATTTATTTATAATTCTTTTTAAATTATTATAGTTAGCAAATTCTATATATTATACTAGAGATATGCTTTTGCTTATTTGATTTAGTTATTTGCTAACCATAATAATTTAAAAAAGTAATAAATTTTATATAATTGATATAATTACTAACTGTGTATTATAATTTAAAATGCTAAAAAAACATCAACATATTTAAGACATGTGATTGCAAATGTACCAACTTGCTAAAACTTCAGCTACCTGACTTGGTGTCAGCTCTTAGAGTTAGAAACATATATTTTTTTGCTTAAAGTTGAATTATTTAAAAATACAATACTGAAATCTAAAAAAGATTCTAAATATTTAACTAAGATAATATTAACAAATAATAAATAGAGTTTGCTTTATAATTTAATTTCTATTTTAGATTCTTTTGAAGAAGCAACTAGATATCTCGAAAGTAGCAATTATGTAACTTATAGTATAATAAATTTTATAATAATATAAATTACTAATATGCTTAGACCTAAATCAGTATTATTGGAGGAAATAAATATTAAAAATATTAAAAATATTTTTGCAGAGCTTAAACTTTATGATAATGAGAATAATATATATAACAGAATAGATTTAAACAAGTCTATACAAATAATTGGTAGTTTGGAAAAAATCAAGAAAACATTGTATCAAGCTATACATTTTTATTAGAAAAATAATAATTTTGAATTATATTTACTTTCTATTCTTGATCTTTATGGTAAAAAGCTTGATTTTGTACCTAATAAAAGAAGACAAATTCAAAATTTATTAGTAATCAAATACTATAAAACAAAACTAATAAAAATCTCAACATTTATTTTGTTAACTGTCTTATCTGTTGCAGTTTCTTAATTTTACAAATTATTACTTTGAATATTTTCAATAATATATCATCTCTTAATTCAGAGATTGAATTGGATGAATATCTTGCAATTCACAAATTTTTTTTAAATCAGATTTTTTTGTATAATGAAATATGAATAAGAAAAAGTTTTTTGTTTTAAGTAAGTTAACATGTGTTTACCTTTCAGTTTCAGTTACATATACACTTTTTGAATAATTATTTTCAGATTGTAATAATCAGATAAGTTCTAAGAGAACATATATAAGTCCTAAATTTTTTAAATACTTGATGTTTCAAAATAAAATTATAGTGTTTTAAATAGCATTTATCATTTACAAACTACAAACTATAGTTTATAGTTGAAATAAATATTAGAATTATGTTTTTATAAAATAGAAAGCTTGATATTTTTATTTTATCTCAGTTTAGAAGTTTTATAAAAGTTAGAAATTTATAATGCAATATAGCTTAATTATAATATTTATTTATATCAAACAATATTATAATTAAAATTTACAAGTTTTAACTAATATTGTTTTAAAATATATTCACTTTTTTGATTAAACTGTATAAACTAAAGATGTAATTTATAGTTAACTACAATTAAATATACAAACTATATAAATTGAATTAATTTGTATATGATTATATTATACAAATTTAAATAGTTTACATTTCTAATACTAGTATAAACTATATAAACTATGCAGTTTATGCAAATTGTTAATTAATTGTTCAACTATAGTTAACTATACAAATTGCAGATCAATCTGTATAGATAAACAGGAGTAAACATTTGTAATTACATAAGTTGCAGATCACTTCTCTGAAATAATGACCAATCAAAAATGATGATTTTAAAAAAAAATATTAATATTAAAAAAATATAAAAAAATTGAAAATAAAAATAAAAATCAAATTAATTATTTAAATTTAAAATTTAAAATATATACTGAACATTATTATAATGAATAAGTATATTTCTTTATTAATTTGTTTTATATTAATAGCTAATAAGCTAATTTCTACTATATATTGTAATAAAAATTAATAAACTTTGATACAATTAACTTATCTCTAATATAATACTTATATATTACTATTTTACTATTGAAGGCATTTCTAATATTAGTATGTACATACATAGATATATATCGATTTCAATATATCCCAAACAAAAAAAAAATTATATATATAATTAGTTATTTATTATATATTATTATTCATTAATTAGAAAAAAATTTTTTTTTTTTTTAATATTAATGGTAAGGCTATGGCTTTAACTTTATTGAAATTCAATTGAAGTTTTTACAAAACAAAACTTGCTTTTAAATTACATATGAAAAATAAAAACTCAAACATATAATCTGTGACCCAAACCTATAAGAGTGGCCAAGGCTTACCTAGATTTGGATGTTAGTAATAATATATGAAAGAGGAGTATGATATTTAATCTATTGGATAGTTCAAAGATCAATTTTAGTAATAATT